TATCTAAAACATTCAACATACAGAAGTCACATAAAAGCCTTCATGAAACAATAATTGCTGCTTAGGTTGCCAAAAAAAGTTGATGTAAAGCAACTTAGCTTTAGCAGCTCCAGTGGAGTACCTTGCTCACAGCAACGTTTTCATTTTGGGACAGATAGTGGATGAGATTTATTTTTAATTTTTTCTCCATCACATTTTAAAAAATAAAGTAAAATGCTTAAAAGTACATAATTTCAAACCTCGTTTTTTGATTCCTCTAACGTGCCATTAATTTTCCTCTTCTGCTTGGCAAGATAAGGAACACTTCCCATTCACCAAAATGAAAGGCAAGCCTGGCATTTACCAATGCTAATTGGTAAATATTGCTATAAAAAGGCTGTCAGCCTTTCCTAACTACAAAGCAAAATGCAATTCAGAAGCATTCATCCCTTCCCAAGACATGCCATCTCAATAAGAAAGCAGTAACGGGCCGGAACATGGAAGAAAGCTGCTGATACAACAAACCTAAACGCCCTGCAGTTGCAGTGATACAATATGAAGTGCTGACTGGCAAAGCCCTGGCTGGTCTTTTACGTACATGCACGTCTGTACGCACCTGCGTACACACTCAGGAGTCTGGAGAGGGTTGTGGTCGATGCAAACTAGACTTAGTTGGTCTATAAAAGATCAAAACTGGCCAGGCATGCTGCTCTGGCAGCTGAGACGCACAGCAGCCTAGCTGGGCTTAAGAACATGGAGCCGAGATCTTGAAGCATGACTATAACCTCCACCAAAAAACTCTGTGAGACAAGGCATTAATATCCCCTTGTCTCCTCCCCCTTCCTTTTTAATAAATGGTAAGCCAACTTCAGTAAAACACCTGACACATCTTACAGGGCCACCAGAAGCTGACTTGTTTGCATTCTGGAAAGACATCCCACCACAGCCCCAGTGCTACAACCAGCTTGGGAGACGTGGCGCACACCCTGAACTCTTTCCATGCCATGTATTCCTCCTAATTGAGAAATGTCCAAAAGCAGAGTCCCAGCCCTCTTCACTTGCCTTCCTTTGCTGTTAAAACACTTTAACTCTGTCCTCCTTTACACCATTTCCATGCATGACTGCTAAATTTGGATATGAATTCCAATCCCCTCATTATCCAGATGCTCATACAGAAGCAAGAGGATTCAAAGGGGTTCTGGGGGTGTCCTGTTTTTTACTGTAATGGTTGGTGTTACAAGGACTTTCCACAGCATTCTCCTGGGGCTGGAAGAAGCTAAGGGGCCAGTTCACTCTGGTACACTTCATCTCCAGCCAAGCTTCTTCTGGTTTCATTGACAAAAGCCTGCTGTCATGCCAGTGAGAGCTGAATAAGTTCAAGTAATTCTTTAAAACTACATGCCCATCCTTTAACTTGTAATCCTGGTCTTGGCAATCCCCACAGTCCTACCTCTCATCCATGCCCATGCCAGCTGCACCTGGCCACCTCTGGGTACTCCTTAGCAGCTGAATAGCTAAGGGAGCAGTCCACAGCTCTAACAAAAACACCATGATGGAGAAACCAAGAACAAAATTGAGGGATTCTGTCCTACCAGTAAACACAGCGAAACCAAAAACTTAATATATTTTGAGGGAACCTCACGGTTTGTTTTTCTTTATCATTTTTCAGATGAGTCCAGCAGCTCCTCCTCATACCCCCCCTTTCATCTGTGTCTTTATAATTACCAGCCTACAAAACACTGCCCTGTCTCAGGCCACTGAATAAAAGTTGTAAACTTTAATTTCTGTATTTAAGCTCCCCAGTCGCCCCAGGATGTGATGGACCATTACTCCAGCCCCGAGACTGCCTGTTCTTAAATCACTGACCATGACTCCTGCTGCAGCTAGACTGGGTCCTCTCCAAGGTCAGGTCTCATTTCCAGACCTTCAAGATCTTCCTGCCAGGCAAATACTGTGTTGCTGCTTTGAATCCCCATACTTCAAAGGACACTTACGTTCACCCTGAAAATACTGCAGCATAGCATAACCACCTGTAAACACTAAATGCTGCCTGCTAATTGACAGGTACAATATTTACAGAGGGCTGCACACCAGCAAACAGCCTGGCAGATTTGTTTATACATAGCGATAGCAATGCCAAGTGCTCAGGAAAGACAGACCAAGATCTGGGAGATGAAAGCAAGCCTGAAGAGGGGGACTGACACACGCACACAAACCAGTAACACAGGAATCTCCTGGCAGGTTTACTTGACAAACAGTATTTGTCTCGCCTCTCATTTCACAATGCAGCATTGCTGCTACTCGCAGCATGCAGCGAGAAAATGGGAGAACAACCCCAGGCTTGTGGGACAGGAGGTAGGTACCCTGACAGCAAACAACACCAAAGACAAGTGGATGCCTCAAAAGCACTTCCAACATAACACCCTCAAGCCATCAGCTGTGGGCTAGCCACTGGCTTTGGTACAGCAGCAGCTGAAGACGTGCAAATTCGACCCAACCTCTTCTCCCCTCTTTTAATTACAATGTCTCCACAACAGCAACAGGGATAAAAATTATTTTTTCCTGGACTCCATATTCCAGTTTCAGTCATTTTCCAAAACGAGCCCTCGGATAGGGGAGGGGGAAGGAGTGTTGGGGAGGACCAATGAGGTCCTCCTGCAGCTGCGCTGATCGGCTTCTCAAAGTCTTTCCTCCCACCCGCAGCTGACCTCCAGCCCGCCCCAGGCTGGCTCTCATCCTCTCCAAGTCAATAAAGTGCTCCCCAAAGGCGCAGGGCTGACAGCCCTGGATATTCAATTAGACAATGTGTGGAGGAGACGGCGAGTGCAGGACGGGCAGCAGGGATGGAGACGCTTTCCCTGCGGAGAGGGTGCCCTGCCAATGCACTGTGTCCCCACTCGGGAGGGGATAACTCATCCCACGGCTACAAGACATTTGGCTCATGCTTTGAAGCCTGGAAGGAGGCAGCAGCTTCTGACATGATGTCCTGGATGCTGTTTTCAAAAGGCTCCTGACAGAGCTGGATCTCACATCCCTGAGTGCCAGGTGACGCTTTGAAAACGGAGCTGGAAGTGAGGTTTGAGGCTCCCAAGTGCCTCTTTTCCTTCACTTTGTTTTTTATTATTTTTTTTTAAACAGAACTCAATTTTAAAAATTTTATTCACTGTCACTATTGAATACTTATTAAGAAATCTAATTAAGCCACTCATTACTCTGAAAGCAGCTACCCAACGATGCTGAAGTGATGACCTTCTATAAGCCCCCTCCCTCTTGAAAAAGTAATGGATGAGCAAGGCATGCTATTTGGGCTACAGCGATTCACATTTCTTCTCATTCAGATGTCAGTAAAATGTAATTAATTCTGACACACACAGAGGTCATATCTCTAAGCAAAATATTAAAGAAGAGGGGATTAAAAGAGAGAGAAGCAATTTTACTAAATGACTGTGCCTCCCAACAGGCTCCATAACAGATAAACCACAACTGAGCAGATTACAGCTCTTAAAATTTCCAGTGACTCAACTATGCTTATACATTCTGCAAAGCCACCTTTTATATGCTTTACATTAAAACTGTATTTATTTATTGCTTATATTGATACATATATGTTCTGAATTTAACAACTTACTTCTCAGTCCAAAAGTACTCAAAACATCAAGGTAACACTAGCATAAGATGGCTCTGAATCAAACACTTTTTTAAAAATACGTATTTTTTAACTTCCCAGTTCCTCAAACTAAAACTGTTTATCTTTATTTGCAACTTGTGTTTAATTAGACATCTTCAGAACAGATTCAAGAAGTTTTTATATGGACCAGAGCTTTCAAAATCCTGAAGGATGTATTTATTTATTTTTAAACTTTTAATGTTTGGTAGGTTTGGGATTTTTTTCTTCAGAAATATTGCAATTATGAGGCTTGCAAGAACAGTATACAAATAATCTTCCCGTCTTGAAAATACAACATATCTTACTGATGGGAAGGGTAGGATTTCTCAGTGATGCTTCTTTAAGAACAGCATTTTTAAATATTTGTTTTAGCCCCTCCAATGTACTTTAAGTTAAATCAGTTTAACTTAATAACCACCACCCTGCAGTAGCATTAGGGAGCACTGGTTCAGAGGACACATTTAAACCCATACTTTCCTCAACAGAATTTAGTGATGAGATGTCCACTCATATTCCTCTGTTACCAGCTTTGAAGTCTTAAAACCAAAACCAGCTGCCGCAGCAAGCCTCAAGCCCAACACAGCAGCGTTCATCTGTTTATATTATCAGAGTATCTGGAAAGATTGGCAGATAGCTCTTCTGGTGATAGATGAATACTGAAACCTGATCAAGGCGTGGGTTATTTTTTCCCATTCAGCAATGCTGCAATTCTAGCCAGGCAACAAACCCCAAGATCTCCATTAGGATGAAGAGAGAAGCAATGAAAGCCTCAATCCCACTGTTGTCCCAAACATTAACAAATTGTCTATCTCATCAACTCGTAGCAAAATTCACAATAACTTCCCTGTGGTCACTGAACACTGGCCAAACACGTTTTGTACCACAAATAAATGAACTGTGGTCTGGTACAACAAAAAGGGAAGCTTCAATTCTAATGTTAACATGAGCTTTAAGGTGCTGTCAAGCTCAGACAGAGCTAAATAGGAAGCCCCAAAGGACAGAAAAACCATCTTCCACTGACACCTCCTGCCCCAGTGTCCTAAGGTCATCAGTTGTCTCAACAGAAGAAACCCTGAGGCTAATCCTGGCACATCAACAATCTAAGAACCTTCCCCCTTCATCACAGAAGGAGCATGACAAGAGGCTTCTCACATTTATTATTTAACTCTTTAATCCTCCTGCCTCCCTGTTTTGGATCCCATCCCACAGCTGGGTGCCCCAGCAGCTTGAATTGTCTTCAAGAAGATCAGCTAAGGGATGGAGCACTGAAACCAGGGAAACCACTCAAGAAACGCCTTTCATTCGTTGGCATGGCTGCTGCTTGCTTCTCTAGAAAAACCCAAAGCAAACCTACCTGGGCAGACTGGTCGCCAACGTCCGGCATGCTGCCATCCAACAGCTGTCCCCCTGTGCTCTGAAGCTGCTCTTCCCCGTTGCTTTCTGCTCCGGAGGTCTCTGGTTGCGCAACCTCCACCTCCATCGGAGTGCAGTGCCCGTTCCCATGCTCTGAGCCCAGCTTTTCTTTGTTGTCCTTGCTGCCTGGTGTTCTGGTGATGACCCCAAACTTCCTGGTCCTTTTCCCATTTTGAGCGGGTCTGTCGCCGGGCTCGGGGCTGGGTTTGGCTTTGGGGTCGCAGCTGTTGCTGTTGTTGCCGTTGGAGGGAGGAAGAGGGGCTTTGCGCTTGATGCGGCGCAACATGATCAGGTAGACGAAGCCGCCATTCCAGCACTGCTCGGCCAGGTAACTGCAGAGAAAAGGGATGTGCAGGGATTACCAACAGCTCACCCTGCAGCGCCTGCATCCCTCCCCATCACCCCAGCGTGCTGTGCCCCAGGATGCTCGTGCGCCCTCTTGGGTGGGCTGATTAAAGGACGTGTGGATGCACGAGGATGCCTTAAGGGATCAGTAAATGGGTCTCGTTCAGTATTAGAGTAATACTCTAATAATACCAGGAATAGCATTGGGAATAATAACAGCCCTACCAGCCATCCAGGCTGATCCCGCTGCAGCGTAATTCAACAACTGGTAAATGCTACCCAACGGGTTCCCTTTACCCTGACGTCCAGACACACGTCACAGCAACATGGAAAGGTGGAGAAAGCAAAGCAGAGTGCTTCTAGTAGGATAATAAAATAAACAAATAACTTAAAAAAAAAAAAAAATAATAAAATCAGCCCATAGAGCATCTGCATCTGAAATGAGCCTCCTTAGTAAAACTGATATTCTGCTTTGGTGTGTACATACATCCCTTTACCCTGACGTCCAGACACACGTCACAGCAACATGGAAAGGTGGAGAAAGCAAAGCAGAGTGCTTCTAGTAGGATAATAAAATAAACAAATAACTTAAAAAAAAAAAAAAATAATAAAATCAGCCCATAGAGCATCTGCATCTGAAATGAGCCTCCTTAGTAAAACTGATATTCTGCTTTGGTGTGTACATACATGCTTTGAAGGCCTTGGGGGGGGGGGAAAACTCAGCCACTGGGATAAGCAGGCATAGGGCAAATGGCCTCAGTACAGTGAAGAGTGACACTACAAGTCATCCTGGCTCCCATAAAGGGACATCAAAATATGGTGGGTTTCCTTTACAGTAAGCAAATTCCAATGAAAGCAAGAGCCCAGAGGTTCTCAGTTTTGCAAGAGGCAGCCACCAGGCTGTTGTACCAGAGCAAAACATGGCCGCTCCTTCCAAAGTCTCTGGACATGCCTTAAGAAATAAACATTTCTGCTTCACGAAAATACTTGGTGACCTTACAGAAACTGCACCCATTGATACAAAAGGGGAATCTAACTTCATGCCTCTTTTGGGAAAGGATATACCTCAACCCAAATTCTTGAAATATCTGGGTTCTGAGCCAAGGGTGTAACCAACTGAGAGCACAAACAAGCTGGAATTTGTACTTAGCAGGTTTGTATGTGCCCTTTCACACTAATTTAGGCCCCAAAATATACTGCACTTCTCACTAATGAACACAGCAAGAACTTCCCAGAGCATCAAACAAACCTCTGCTGCAACTGCAATGAACTCTTCACTAATACGGAACACTTGCTCAGCCTACAACTATCAGAGATGAGAAACTAGGTGTGGAGTTGAACCATAAAAGTTCCTAAAAAGAATACCACAACACTTGTGGTTGAGAGAGGTGGAGCAACTCAGGAGTATTTCACCTTTTTTTTTTTTTCCTCCTTGGTGCCTGTAGTCACCTTTCTGAAAAGTCACTCAGCCTTAATTACAACCCCTTAAAGTTATTCCTGCACAGAAGTGACTTAATGGCAAAACAGGAAAAGTGGCTATGATAACCTCCAAAGCAAACTTCTGCACAGAGGAGTAAGGAAAGCACTTCCAATTACTCTGGCTGGAAATAACACCATGGCTGTCTGTTTCTGTCTAGGGACATGAGATGATAGTATCAGTCCTCCCCTTCCCAAAGCTTAGATGTCCCCCACAGATGATGTTAACATTCAAATCTCTTATATTTAATGAGGAAGACTGATGTCCAAATGAATACAAGAACTACATAACCTTAAAAGCAGCCCTGGAAAAACAGAGGGGAAGGACAAGTATGTTGGCTGTGTCAGATTTCCCCAATGAATATAAAATGCACTCAACTCCCTGGACAGTCCACTCAGCAATTTTCTACCAGGCAAGTTTTTTTGTTTTTTTTTTCTTTTTTAAACACTTTTAACAGTACTTAACTAAAGCCCTAATTTATCTTTTTCAAAATGGCTGAAAGCAGAGTGCAGACAAGTCCTGCTGGCTGGAAAGTCTCTACAGCCAAGGTGAGTTATCTGGGTGACCATGAGATGAGACTGGGCTCAAGGAGCACCCAGGGCTAGCAGGACCTGAAGATTTAGCAAAAAAAAAAAAAAAGATTACAGAACCAAGACAGAAGTATTTTTTATTATCAAGTTAAAAGAAAAATTCTTTTAATCAACAGAAAACGGACAGTTCTGTTCCAGAAACAATACAGGCTGCCTGTTTTTCACATTTATCTTTCAACTCAAATTTCAAGGCAGCCAGTAAAGTTAATTAAAATTCATGACTTTTGCTTGCAGCAATACCACTGCACTCTGATCCATCACACATAAGCCTGATAGCACTGCTTCTGCTGGCACACAGAAACAGAAAAGCAGCCCTTCTTCCCATAGTCCTGTGGCTTAGATGTGTGGTGCCCACCCCGTTTTTATGCAGAGTCAGTTCTGCCTGACTTGTTCTTGTGCAGGTGCATGTATGAGGGCTGTTTTTTTAAAACGCTGATCTCTATCTCTGAACTAATCACTGATGTATTTTTGAGTGTCAGTAACAAAGTGCATGCATTAATCAACTGCTTGATTTAGGAACCAAGGAGAATGAGAGCAAACTTAGCATAGGCCCAAAAGAAGTGATTTTATAGATGCTTAAATAATTTAATATTCCACCTCCACTTGTGGCGCATTTATTCTGTTCATAAAGTGTAAAACCATGAAAGAGAAGAAACAAGAGGGCTTGGGGTTTTTTTCTATTCACTGACTGTTCACAACTATCCCTACAGTCTGGAGCAGAGTTATGGTGAGTGGTAATAGATGCAGCTGTGCTGAAGCCAGCAGAACCATGCTGATTTACTCCATATGTTGAGATGGCCTGCATGTTCCAGGCATGCAGCCTGTAGTAACTCATGGGTTTACTTTTTGAGTACTTCTCAGCAGTTCAAAGCACACAGTAAGTTTCCATAAAAAAAAAACCAGAAACATCTTCTGTGGGTCAGTGAGCAATTACCTCTGCATGGCAGCAAGTGATTGCATACATCGGAAGATGTCAAGTATTTCCAGACAGGGTAAATCCGGCCTCTACCAGAGATGCAGTAAGTGGTACCATTACCTCAGAGTTTCTGTTCAACCAAAGATCAGGCATCTCATACTGGAAAACCTGCATTGGTATGAACCTAACTCATACAACAAGTGAGAAAACTAAGATATCCCAAATTTGTGGTCATTTCCAATGTTGTCCTCCCAAGACAGGCCTGAGCAATCCCAAAGTTCTGGTAACTATATGCTGCCTACTCAGCTGGCTTCCTTTGTCTTTGCCATTTCTTCTCATTTAAGTAAGAAATCAGAAAACCCTGGGGAAGCACAGCAGCTCTCAACATTGGACAAAAGAAAGGCATTATTAAATTAGTGACAACCTTCACACTTTAATTCCTTTCTACCAACCCAGGAACACCCCATGCCAGAGGGGAGTAACAGGACGGATTCAAGAAAATGCAGTTTTATAGCCTCTAGACTGCAGAAAACTGCAAAAGCTAGGGAGGACCCAAAATTCCCCTTCTCAGGGGGTTTGATGTGCGCAATGCAGAAAAACCTTTTTTTAGACTTGGTCCCTGTAGAGCACTCACAGAGATTTTAGCAGTCAATACACCAACCATGTCTCAGGCAGGGTAGGATCAGAGCTGGTGAGCAAATGTGGCTCTTGACAAAGATGTGGGGAATCAGCTCCAATCTTCAAGTTGTCCCTTAGTTTGAACATGGTCTTCAGATTGGATGGAGAAGGTGCATGGAGCAAAAATATCCCTAATGCAGCTTTGATTCAAATTTATTGAAAACTGAAACTCTAGGACCTACTACTCCCTGTTTTGGTTTTCAGGGGATGGCGTAGGATTTGGTGAATGCCCTGGATCTCATGCAGTAGCTAAGAAACCTTGGGCAGCTACTCTTTGTGCTACCGAATAGCGACACATGACTGGTCCTATTACCACTGGTTTTAAGAACACAAAGAGATTTTACCAGCTGAACATATATCTGCTAGTAATAGTTACCAAAACAAAACATTTTACCAGCAAAACATCCATCCACACTTTCTGTATTTGCCAGTCTTTGCAAGGCAGTGTCATGTCTCATCACCACAGCTGTGAGTCCCCTCAGACACTGCAGCATCATCACCTCAAGCAAGGTCTAAAACACCACTGAAACATCATCTTGGAAACACTTCCCACTACCATGCTCGGAAGGAAGGACCACTCAGCTGCTCCTGCTGCTTTGATCTCACCCTGTCACCAGCTCTGGTAACACCCCAGCCTGTACAAACATCACCCTTAAGCAGTGGGGCAGATCTTTTCTTCTCTGTAGGAGAGGAACCATGAAATCCTTAAAACCAGGGGAAAATTACTTTACACTTGAAAGAGAGCTGAAAAGATACTTCTTACAAAACCCAACCACAGGTTAGAGAATTCAACTTGTGGCTGGTATCAAGGGACATTTAATACTCTTTCCGTATCAGAGCCATGAAGAGGTGGACACATCCACTTCCTTTGGAGACTATTTTTAGAGTTAGGCAGCCAAATCCCATTTCTCCCCTACACAGCTGAACTGATTGCCATGATCATAAAAACTGATAAACTCGCCAAGTTTATTCCAAGTTCCTTGGCATGCGTGTGAAGTGTCAGACTTGGAAATGGTGTCTCAGAGTAATCCAGTCATTTTTGTATTTATATACATATATATATATTTGAATTTTTTTATATATATATATATATATATTTGTGTGTGTGCATGTATAAATCTAAAGGTTTACAGACTTGACAAGAGCATGCTGTGACAAGCTCTCTGTCACATCCCATCTCACTTGAACAAATGCAGACGGCCACACTGAGCTACAGAAAAATGAAAACAGACCCAGCAGCCATAAGAAAGCATCTGGATCCACTTTAGGATCAGAAATATTGAAGAAGTATGTTGATTTTACGCTAATAATACTATTTAGCATTTC